AACAATTTAGAAGCACTTTGCTCAGGGTTTTCCCCTGGAGGAGAGTTTGCAGTGGATACATATGGTTGCCGTCGCTCATCACAGCCAACCCCCAAATCGTCTAACGTCCTTGCAGGTGTGTGGGGCCACTCCAAGCAGTCGTGTTCAAGTCATGGGCGGAGGGGCAGAGGTGTACAGCAGGATCAGGTTGGCTCTCAAGTAGTCCCCACATCAGCATGTCAGACATTCAAACCCCGGAGGTGCTACAAATATCCAGCAGTCTCTAAAATACTGTGTTGAATGTATTATGGTCAATTCTATCACTCAGCGTTGGGGACTGAAAAAAGCTCTATTTTTTTTTTCTCATCCAGAAGTATAAAAACAACTTGGGCACATTTCCATCTGTCTTTGGGAGACTTGAACTCTGAAAGTAGGAGATTCTGGAGGATTCACACCTCTCAGCTTTATCTAGTGTTTGACTTGCTACTTTTCCCTTGGTCGGCTGTAACCAGAAACCAGACACTTAACACGACAGAAATTTGTGCCCTCATAAATTTGAAGTCTAAAAGCTCAAATCAAGATGTCAGCAGGGCTGTGCTCCCTTCAGAATCTCTAGAAACTTCTTTCCCTACCTCCTCCAAAATCTGGTGGCAGCAGAAGTCTTTGGCATTCTGTGCTTACAGCACTGTGATTTCAGTTTTTGCCTGTGTTCATAGTCTTCATTCTGTGTCAAACATTCTCTTAAATCCCTCTGCAAAATGACACATCATTTGCACATAACCTGTATGTGTCTTCCCTGACTCTGTAAATTATCTCTAGATTACCTACAGACACCATGAAAATACTATGTAATTCAAAGAACCAGAGCCCGCGAATAGAAAGGGCCAGCTATGTTAAGTAGCTGGGGATAAGAGTTTGAACACAGCTTTGTGAGGGACAGAAGTCATCAAGCAGCTAGCAAAGGCACCCTCGCAAGCATCAGACCTGCACCATTAGAGAGAACGCTATTTATCTTCCTGTGTCTGTAAATTCAGACATGGAAAGGGCAGGAAAAGTCAGGATTCGGGTTTTGATAAATCAGAAGACAGCTGTCCTAAAAAAGTTTGGAATGCCCCTTAGACATAGTGATGGGTCTCTTCCCTGGAGTCTCTTGGGGCAGTGAGGAACAAACCCAAAGGAGAAGACCTTCACACTACTCTGAGCCATGCCCTTAAATGCTGTGGGGGTTTGAACAAGGGGTTCCCGGTAGTCTCGGGCATTTACATACTTGCCCCTCTGTTGGTGGCGCTGTTTGGAAAGCTTAGGAGGTGTGACCTTGTAGGAAGTATTTCACTGAAGGTGAACCTTGAGAGGATAAAGCATCATCTATCGCTTGTCTGCTTCCTTGCCATTCAAGATGTCAGCCCTCGGGTTTCCTGCTCCTGCCTCCATGTATATGGCTTGTTGCCATGGTGCCACTCAGCTACCAAGGATTCTTGACCCTCTGGAACATAAGCCCAAATAGTCTTTTTCTTCTCTAAGTTGACTTGGTTACGGTGATTATCACAATAGAAAAGTGAGTAATACAAAGTTTTACCCGAGAATGACACTGATGTGGAGATGTAACTGGCCTGGCAGGAATCATATTTGGAAGAGACACTTGTGTTCCTTACTGTGACTTATAGACTATTGACACAGTGGACCCCAAGAAACTGGGATTCCTCCTGGAACTTACATTGGGGAAGAGAACTACTAAAGGCTGGTGCTAGCCAAAGGACGAACTTGCCACCCAGAAAAGGGATTTCATACAGCACCGAGAACTTGTCAGATCATCTGGCTGGGACACTGGAGCCCAGACAATGATGGGCAGTAATGGACACTGACTGGGACTACTTAGAGGTGCATATCTCTGGCCCTTGCTTAAACCTGGGTTTCACTTCAGAATCCCGAAGATGAACTTGAAGAGGGCCACTGGGTCTCTCCCAAATATGGCCACATTGAATAACTCTCGTATTTCTGCTTTTAACTATTAATTTGTCCATTCTAATTGTTATTATTGAGGTCAGGTTTCTGAACCTGGCTTCTTGGGGCATAGACTGTGAATACAAATACAAGGTCATTGATCCACACTGACTGCCAAGGGCAAATGGCACACAGAACTGCTAGAAAATGTGGAAATTCATTCTGAAAAGGCAAGTTGACTGTCAACCAGCATCTGTGGGCCTCCATCCAAGCGTCTCTTAAAAGTCTTGCAATTCTATAGCTAAAAAGCCCAAAACAAAACGAGCACAACTCAATGCAGACCATGGTCCAGAATCAACCCAGGAGGACAATAAGATGCAGAACAATGGCTCTGCAGACTCAGACTCTCTAAAGTGCAAAGTGATGCCAAGGGACACAGAAAACACAAAGCCAGGCTGGGCGACCGTCGCAGGTAAAGTGCTTGCCACGCACGGAGGGAGCCAGAGCCTGGATGCCTACAATCCAAGCAAACCCGGTGGGTGTGGCAGCTCTCTGTCATCTCAGTCCAGGAAGGAAGGGACAGCGAATCAAGCTGGCTAATGAAACTAGTCACATGGGCAAGCTCTGAGGTTGCTTGACAGATCCTACTTCAAAGAATAAGGTGAGTGAGCCACGGAGGCAGATTTCTAACCTCAACCTCAGCTTTCCCATGCATACATGTGAAAAGAAGAAAAAACCTGCAATGATTTGTTAGTTCAATACACACACACACACACACACACACACACACACACACACACACACACATTAGTGAGACAAAAGTGAATTTTCACCATGACTCTTGTTCTTGCATATGCCAAGATCAAGTGCCAGCCCACATCACTAAGGGTGGGGACACTACTAAAGTCTGATCACCATGGAGTGTATCAAGAAACTCTGAGAGCCAGCCATTATATTTGGAGCCCAGGGTCTCTTGAAGACCCTTTCCCTGGCTGTCTTTGAAGTTCTTAGCTACTGTGCTGTTGCTGTGAAGAGACACCAGGACCAAGGCAGCTTATAAAAGAACGCATTTAATTGGAGGTTTGCTTATGGTGTCATAGAGTCAGTCCGTTAGCACCATGGTGCACAGTGTGGCGGCAGGCAGGCAGGCAGGCAGGCACTGGAGCAATCCATGAGAGGTTATGTGTTGAGACAACAACCAGGAAGCAGAGGGAGAACTAACCGGGAAGTGGCATGGCCTTTTGAAACCTCAAAGGCCACCCCCAGTAACACACTTCCTCCAACAATGTCATATCTACTCCAACAAGGCCACACCTTCCCCTAATTCTTTCCAAAGAGCTCTACCCACTGGGGACCACCCATTCAAACACATGAGTCTAAAGGGGCCCTTCTCGTTCAAACCACCACGTTTCATACACCCGGAGCAAACAGCCTGGAACGAGCCAATGAAAATGACTGACAAGAAAAGTTGCTTCTTGACTAGCAGGTGTGAAGAAATTCTCTATTTCTACATTTTAAAGATCATGCCTTTACGTGTTTAAATGTATTTTTAAATTAATTATTTGGGAAGACAGTGTTCCCTTTCAAGACACTCTGCGTCAGGACAGGATGTCAACATGGCTGAGGGCTGCCGTGCTTAGAAGTTGGAATCAGCCATAGCGCTATAGGCGGATTGAGAACGGCGAAATGCAGAAACAAGTTGCCATGGAAACAGGCCACTAAATGGAGCGTGGCAATCCTAAACCTCGTATGATATAAAGAGAAGGAAAGGGGTGAGGTAGGACATGACAGCATAATCCTCCAGTCTTAGCACCCGGGAAGCTGGAGGAGGATTGCCCCAGATTTGAACACACACACACACACACACACACACACACACACACACGAGAGAGAGAGAGAGAGAGAGAGAGAGAGAGAGAGAATATTTCTGGAAAGAAACCATGTCTGCAAAGAGGTTGGAATGTTTCAGGTCCAACTACCTACCTCAGGCCAGCTTTAGTTCCATTCCTTGCCTGCCTCTGTGACAGAACTAACATCCCGTGAGCTAACAGACGTGGAATGTTTGAACTTGGAACATATGAACTTGGCCGACCACTAGCTTCCACCAACCCCAAAGTTGAGAAAGCCATCAGGGAGTTCTGAGGCCAACAGAAAGGTTTCCCCATCTTGCTGCCTCTCGGATGCACCTGCTGACGTATTTTGTTCATTTTCATTTATGACTTTCTTTGTTGTGGAAGACTATAATACTTCATGAGACTGCTTCTGTGTTGGAACGTGGAATTTGGGGCAATCTAAGTCTGTGTCCCAGGGCCATGGTCACACAAATTTGGCTCTAGAATAAACTCTCTTATTCTAAGGCGAGAGCTGTTGGTTGTTGTTTTGAATCCACAGTATGAGACAAAGAACAAGACAGACGACCCATGGTTGCCAAGAGGGACAGAGAAGTGTCCCGTGTCAACTCTCTAATACCGGAAAGAAAGTTAATTTTTGCCAAAGCCAGAAAACGTGTTCAATTTTGGAGCCTGTCTAAAAAATTTTAAATTGTTAATTTATTTCTCTTTGTAATATTGCAGTTGAACCTAGGGCCTGGCACACACTAGGCAAGTGTTCTACCACTGAGCTACCTTCCCTAGCCCACTGCCTTGTATTTTATTTTGAGATAGGGTTCCAGTAAGTTACAATCCTCCTGCCTCAGCCTTCTGAATAACTGGGGTCTCTCTCAGGCCTGTGCCACCAGGCCCGGTTTGCTGAACGGTTTCAGTTTGGCCATGTCCATCTTGTCCTTTCACTCCAACATGACTAAGAGTGACTTCTGTGTGACGGCAGTCCGGCAGGAAGGCTCCAGAGGAGCCTGCCATCCCGAGCACAGTTGGTCCCGCTCCAGAGAACCAGCCCCCGTTCACCCTGTAGCTCTGGTTCTGTGCACCGTCTCTTCCAGGTCTCCTTCCCAGCCAACAGGCAACGCTGTCACCTTGCCCAGGACTCTTGTCTTCTTGGCCTTGACCCCTAGCCCAGGGGCGGGACATGTCCCTCGTAGCCAGCCTCCCCTGCATGTCCCAGCCTTGTCCCACAGAACTCACCTCTAACGCCCATCTTACTCCCCGTGCTGGTCTCCCACGTGCAGCCTCCTACCTCTCATTTCTGAGCTCAGCCTGACCTTGGCTTTGCTAGGCTGGCATCTGGCTCTGGCTTGGGCATGTGACTATCAGTGTGGATGGTATCATGACTCAGGAAATGCCACCTCATGAGCTGTCACCCCAACCCAAGCTCCTGTGGCCCACTAAACACAAGCCCTAGCTTCCTCCAGTGGGGTGGGCAACACCTCCACTTCCCGGATCCACAGCTAACCTTCCTTTTCTGCCCACGTTTTTCTCTCCAGTGCTTGGCACTCTCCTCACAGAAGGGCCCGTCTGTGTGACTGTGAGCTCACTCGTCTATTTTTAACCCCACCCCACTGCTTTCTAATTGCTCCCATCCCATGCCTTCCCTTATTGCCGATTTCCAGAGCACCCGACTGAGCACGCCGTCCACACGGTCGTAATGTCCCTCTCATTACTCTCTTACTGCTTCGCTCACAAATGCCATCTCTTTGCGTTCCTCTCACAACACAGTCAAGGAAGCAGAGGAACGCTTACGGTCTCCAGTTCATAGATCAAGAAATTGAGGTTCAGAGAGGGTAAGTGATGTTCCCCAGGCTGTATCCGCATCCTTAGATGCATGGATACCAAGTCTTCTCCAAATGGTCACCTCGTCCATGTTATATATTCTTTATTTTTATTTTATGTGTATTTGGTGTTTCGCCATGGGTGTCGGGTTCCCTGGAACTGGAGTCACAGACAGCTGTGACCTGCCATGTGGATGCTGGGAATTGAACCCGGGTCCTCTGGGAGAGCAGTCAGTTCTCTTGACGGCTGAGCTGTCTCTCCAGCCCCATGTATGTTCTTACCTCAGGAGGCACTGCCCCCTGTGGCCGAGTCTCTGAGTCACCATCATCTGCTCTTCCTGTGAGTCCTTTCTTGTTGACGGGTAAGCCAGCATCCACCAAAGAGCTTCAGTAAACAAAAACACCAAGACATTGCTTTCTTCCCCCTTAGCCTTCAGATCCAGGGCCATAACTGTATATTCTAGGACCCTAGAAGATGAAAGATTCTTCATTTGCCCTTTGTTGCTGTGGTGATTTGAAAGCAAAGCCCCCCCCCCCATGCAGGACTCTCAGCTACTTCTCCAGCACCATGTCTGCCTGCATGCTGCCATGTCCCACCATGATGACAATGGACTGAACCTCTGAACTGTAAGCCAGCCACCCCAATCAGATGTTTCCTTTAAAAGAGTTGGTGTGGTCAGGGTGTCTCTTCACAGCAATAGGGACCCCAACTAAGACAACTGCCAACAAACAAAAGGAAACTAAGCAACAAGACTATCCTTGGAGGCTTCTCCCTTCTCAGGATGGGCCCTGAAGCCCCAGGCCTACATGCTGGGCTACCTGCTGCACCCCCAGGAATCCAGTCAGGCATTCCCAGATGCCTCCAGGGCAATGTTTTTACTATGCGCTCCTCCAGGCTTGTGTTCCTGTCTTCCTGATGTCCGTGAACCTCTCTCTTTTCCACAGACCCGTGCAGAGCAGTCAGTGTTGATCAGAGTGGGCCTGTGTGCCTGTGTGCTCCTTAAAAAGGGAAAACGAAGCCGGGCGGTGGTGG